ATCTGTTGAGGTCCATTCCTAAGGCCTTCAGATCCCGCTTGCAGATATCCTTGTATCGCAGTTGTGGTCTCCTTCTGGGACGATTTCCCTGCACTGATTCTCCAAGCAAAGTATACACTTGTCCTTAAACTGAAGCTTTGCCTCATCTCTAAATCAGTTTCCATGGACAATGCTGTGAACATCTTTGGATAGGCAGGCATGTGATTCTGTTTCAGCATGTATAACATAAGCAAAAATATTGCGGCACCTCAAAGACCATCACATTTATTTCAGTGTGAGCATTCATGGATTATAGCTAGAGATGGGTATGAGCGGCTAGTTTGGTGGTTTGTGCTGGTCCAGCTGCTGGCCCAGAGGGTGTTCCATGCTTCCAAACCCTGCTTCCTCCAGCAGGAGCCCACTTGGACACAGTGCCTGGAGGACGCAGGGCAGGGAAGCCAGGGTGCTTCCCCTGAGTGGGCATCTGCAGGGCTCGGAACCACGGAACACCTATTGGGCTGATGGCTGAACCAGCACGGACCATCAAACCTGCAGTTCATGCCCATCTCTAATCATAGACCACACCCTCAGACACATAAGGAACACTGTGAATGTCATTACCGCTGCTTGACCTCGTGGACACCCCTGATCTCATCTGATAACCAACGTTAAGCATGGTGGACTTGGCTAGTACTTGATGAGACACTATCAGGGAACAGCATCAATCTCCAGGTAGGTATAGGAAAGAATCTTTCCTGAAACCTTGGAAATAACTCTGACCCACAGGTCACTGAGGAAGCTCACTGCTGTTATTGTTTAGTTGTTAAGTCGTGTATGACTCTTCGTGACCCCATGGACCAGAGCACACCAGGCCCTCCTGTCTTCCACTGCCTCCCGGAGTTGTGTCAAGTTCATGTTGGTTGCTTCGATGACACTGTCCAACCATCTCATCCTCTGTTGTCCTTTTTCCTCTTCCCTTCACACTTTCCCAACATCAGGGTCTTTTCCAGGAAGTCTTCTCTTCTCACGAGATGGCCAAAGTATTGGAGCCTCAGCTTCAGGATCTGCCCTTCCAGTGAGCACTCAGGGTTGATTTCCTTTAGAATGGATCGGTTTGTTCTCCTTGCAGTCCAGGGGACTCTCAAGAGCCTCCTCCAGCACCACACTGCTGTTATTAGAATTAATAATAGTGGGGAAGATGGACTAGGGGCCTAAGTCAAGAGAAGCTTGCTGCTTATGACTGTAGTTTGCATGAATTCCCAAGAAGTTCACTGTGTGGATAAGTAGGCGTACTGCTCATCCATTGTATATCTTTCCTTTAAGGAGAGACCCTGGTCATGCTCAGTGGCTTTGGGATTCCCCATCCAGAGAGGATGTCAGGCTGAATATTTTGCTTTTGCCTTGTCCTTACCATGAACATCTTCCATTTAATGGCCTTTTAGGTTGTTTTTGTGATTCTTCATTGACCTGGAGGGAGGTTGCGGTTTTTGTTTCACACTGCTATCCTTAATGTCCTCGTTTTCTGTTTTATGCAGCTTGCTTCCTTTGTATAAGTAACGATGAGTTCACATTTTACTGTGCTTTTATTGCATTTTTATCTCTGCATATAACGTATATTTCTTTATCTTGGTCAGCTGCCTTGACTTATCTATCCCTCTAGGGAAAACAGGTTATAGATATATTTGGCACCAAAAGTGAATGATGCTATAGTATCAAGGTGTGGAGTTAGTACCCAGCTAATATCTGATAATGAATTGATCTGGGAGTGTTTCAGGACAAATAAGAGATTATGCATTGGGGATCCTGCCTTTAAAAAAAATCAGACAATTGTTTGAAGAAAGGAAGTGGTGCTAAAGGGGTGTTGAAGTTTCTTCTTTTGTGCTGCTTCTCTGCAGCAGTAACTGCCAGATGCCTGAAAGCTTGAATGTGTTTGGGACATGAAAATGGCATGCACATATTTAGTTGTGTGAATGAGCCCTGAAGTCATGATGCGTGGTTGGAATAAAACGTCTCAGAAGTCAATGCTGAACTGCTAATTTCTGAGAAAATCTGCCCATGCTATAGAATACACTGGTAAAATTAAAAAGTGTGTAACTTGACTCCACAGTGTTACTTTTAGGAAGTAGTAATTTACAATTATAACTGTGAAAGTAATTAAAAGCTATAGGTACACCACAAAAGGCCCAGCCCTAGGAGGCAGGGGAGGGACAGAGTGGCTTACATCCCTGTGGCCTCCCAAGGGAACTGCCACCCCAGAGGTCTCTCAAGGAGACAGCGGATGGCATTGGGGGGCATTTGGGTCCCCCAATGAGGTGGACCCAACCCAATGTTTGGCCAGGATGGCTACTGCTATGGTCAATAAAGTTGTGGCCTCTTTTTCCCCAATTATGTTGTGTGTGTCAGTTAATTCAGGACCAGCCAGCTTAGCAGTAGGCCATCAACATAAACCCTTATTTAGTTACTAGGTGCAGCTATAGTATACATAGCTAATATGTGGTTCGGTGCCTTGTCCTCTCCCATGTGCCTGAAGGAGGCAGGACAGAGAAGTTGAGGTGGTGGCCCACGGGAGGTGGAGGGGTGCCAAATCGTAGGACAGCTGTGGGGTCAGTATATGAACTGGGCTGAACCACTGAACCAGTGATTCGTGCTCATCTCTAGCTGTCCCATGGAATTCTAGGACTGGTAATTTGATAAAACCCTCAGGATTTACTGCTAGAGAGCTCTACAGCACTGTCCTGAGCCACAGCAGAGAATTCTAAATATCACAGCAACCTACAAATCCAGAATTCCTTAGGATACTGCCATGACAGAAGTGGTGCCAAAGGGCTGTAGCTGTGTTGTATAGACATTATCACTATTGTGAGGTAGCTGTTTGTTTGCTGGGAAAGGGTCTAAATGTCAGTTACTAGTTAGGTAAATGGTGTTTGCGAGGACCATGATGGCGACAATCAGAAGTGACATTCTCTAGTCATCAGTAGGTTAACTTTGTTTGGGAAGGGACATGCTCAGTGAATTCAAAAAACAGAAGAAATAGATATATAAAACCCAACCACTAAGCCTCACGACATCCTACTGCTGGCCTTCAGCACAGTGGAATTTCTATAATTCACTGGAACTCTCAGAATTCACTCAGCGCCAGTTTGGCTTAATTTATTTGACGGAAAGTTAACTATGACTAAATCTCTAACAAAGGGGAGAGTTTTGATCCATTTACTAACACAACTCCTTCAGATGACACTGCAGGACACTTTATCATGGACTAAATTAATCACCGCTGAAGAGCACTGTGTTATTTTTGTGTGTGATAAGTAAACACAAGTGTCCCTTTCAAATGGTAGAAAGTACGAAATCAATTAGGAATTGTTGAGCGTACAGACGAAGGAAGAGGGAGGAGTGGGTGGATGCAGAACAGGTGTCTCAGCTGAACTCTGAATGGTGACCTGGCTTTTGGGTTGTACAATAGTTAGCCATGCAATGAACGAGTGGGAGAAAACAAATTTCCTTGCTACCCACATCAGTATGTTTGGCACTGTTTGAAAGCAAAGGGGGGGAAAGAGGGTTGACACCAGCCAGAGTCCCAACAAACTAAGAGGCACAAAAGCACTAATAAAGAGAGAGCAGTTTATGGGCAGAGAGATTTCAAAAGGTATTGGGAAATATAAGGGTGTGCAGTCTGTTATGTGTCATCAACTCACGTCTGACCTACGGTGACCCTATGAATGAGCCATCTCCAGAATGTCATATCCTCAGCAGCCCTGATCAGCTCTTGTAAACTCAAACTCTTGTGGCTTCTTTTAGGGAGCCAATCCATCTTGTTTTCGGTTTTCTTCTTTTCCTTCTGCCTTCCACCTTTCCCAGCCTTGTAGTCTTTTCCAGAGAATCCTTCATGATGTGCCTCAGTTCCAACATATTTGCCTCACAGTGTAAAGTCCGGGAAACTTAATACACAGCGATAATGGACACAAAGGGACAGTTTGTCACAGATTGTGTTTGATTCTTTGTTCAAGCATTTACTTGCTTGCTCCATTAGTGCCATTCTGTACTGTTGAAAAGAATCTCAGAGTGGTTGACATATCAGTTAAAAAAAGTGAAGCCTTTTTTTTGTAAGGCATATACTCTTAAAATCTAAAAATGTATAGCACAAAGGGGAAAATAAACCAGGAATGAATAGGGCAACAAAGTGTGTATATTGTGAACATTTTTGTGTTCAGATTTTAAGAAATAACTCTCAAAAAATAATTTATTCCCGTTACTCGCTGTTGTGTATACTTGTTACAATCTTTTTTTTAAAAAAAAATGTTGCATTGCTGGTTGTGTCATTTGATTTTTTTCAACACAAGTTCGAGTCACAGCCACCAGCTTTAAAAGAGGTCTGGACAAATCCAGAACCCTCCTGTTTATATATTCTCCTTCTCTATTTTCAGACTAAATCTCTTTTACTGAACCTGTACAAATCATTTTGTATGAAATGCTGATAACTACAGCAAACACCATCTTGGAACACATTGCATCAATAAATATTTACTGATTGGTGAACATTAAAGCCTTAAGCTGGGTCTAAATGAATGCATAAACCAAATTATCCTGAATTTGTGCGTCTTATTCTTCTTTTATTTAAATTCTGAGCACAAGGAGCTGCCTGTGTGTGGTGTAATGTGACACAAAGAATTTAGAGTTCAAAACAGGAGCAATATGTTGCTCGCAATTCAGAGTTCAGCTGCACTGAACAGAAGAGGGGACTTGTTTTCTGTGCCGTATGCAACTTGCCCTCTTGCATGTGTTCTTTGCTGAGGCTCGGAACAATGTTCCCCATGGCCAACAGCAAACGCTGCATATATTAGACCCAACTTGCATCAATACCCAATTGTTCTGGATATGTAGGTTGAAGAAATATGGATGGAATTAGAACTGTGTCTCAGACAGCAACATGATGCAAGTCGCAAATAGATTACTTCTAACATCTTTTCCCCGGGCATTTGACAAGGGAGGAACTGAGAGTGCTCTGCTCTCTTTTCATACAGGACGGAATAGATGAAAGCCAACCAAACCCTCCGCAGCAAGATTTGGTGGAAGTCAGTTCCTTGGCCTCTGTGGATCTTGCCCAAGACGAGGTAAAACCGGAGGACGAGAAAGCTGCTGGAACAGACTTTAACAATTCCGTCATGAGTTTCTTCAAAACGCTGGTAAGGTTTTGCTCTCATTTTTTTCCTGGATAGAAGTAATGTGGATTTAAAAAATCAGAATGTTGTTAAATATTTCCATGACTTTAGTTTCTTCAAAACGCTGGTAAGGTTTTGCACTCATTTTTTCCTGGATAGAAGTAATGTGGATTAAAAAAAACAGAATGTTGTTAAATATTTCCAGGGCTTCAGAAGGAGAGCAGGGAATATGTTCAGCATCACTGACAGTGAAAATAAGTAGCACAGACGCTTCAGTGAGTGAAAGTGCCACAGTATACTTGAAGCAGTCAGGAAGCTGCTTAGAATCACAGAATCATTGAGTTGGAACTGGCCTGTAAGGCCACCGAGTCCAACCCCTGCTCAATGCAGGAATCCAAGTCAAGTAGCACAGACACTTCAGTGAGTGAAAGTGCCACAGTATACTTGAAGCAGTCAGGAAGCTGCTTAGAATCACAGAATCATTGAGTTGGAAGGGGCCTGTAAGGCCATCGAGTCCAACCCCTGATCAATGCAGGAATCCAAGTCAAAGCAGATCTCACAGGTGGTTGTCCAATTTTCTCTTGAATGCCACCAGTGTCACAGCACTCACCACCTCCTGAGGTCATTGGGTCCATTGCCATACTGCTCTAACAGTTAAGAAGATTTTCCTGATATTTAACCTAAATCTGGCATCCTGTAACTTGAGCCCATTCTTGCGTGCCCTGCACTCAGGGATGATTGAGAACAGATCTTGACCCCTTCACTGTATGACAGCCTTGCAAATATTTGAAAAGTGCTATCTTATCTCCCTCCAATCTTTTTTCTCAAGGCTAAACATGCCCAGTTCTTTCAGCATTTCCTCATAGGGCTTGGTTTCCAGTCTGACCATCCTTCTTCTAAATTTGTGTGTCTTGTTTTAAGAGAGGTTTGGAAATGTAAAATGTGTCTTAATTGTTCATTTAAATTATGTATTTGATTCATAAGCTCTGAAACGTAACATCCTCAGGTATATGTGCTTTCTCAGCACTAGCATTTCCAATTAGACATAAAGAGGACAACAAGAGTGCATTCATAAGCATCTTCATTCTGAGTCAGGCCCACTGAACTTACACCATTGTAATTTTGATATGCTGGAAGCCTAACGCTAGCAAGTAAGTCCCATTCGAGACAGGGGACCTTCTGAACTAGCATTTCCAATTAGACATAAAGAGGACAACGAGAGTGCATTCATACACATGTGTAGGATAGTTCTGCATTGTAAACTTAATGAAATATACATGCAAGCTAACAACATTACCAAAGAGTCATAGGCTGCTCATGTGCAAGTCAGGAAGGTCCTTTATCTGAAAATGTTGGGGTGAGGTCTCCAGAATCCTAGTTGGACCAAAAGAACACCTTGTAAGGAACTCACTCATTTAAGTGAAGCCCTGAAAACTTTTTCTATAAGTCCTTTTGCCTCTTCAGCAATGTGTACACTAAGACGGAATTCAACAATTTAACAATATAAGAATGTAATACAAGAACTACTAGATCAGTTTCCAACAGTGGGGAATTTAAAGCTTCTAAAGTTACACAAAGGTCATGAAGACAGAGCGTCAGGTCACACATTAAAGCAAATGTTTAATTTCCTTCTTTACAATGATGTATCCCTCCAGGCACACAAATCTTTCAGGGCTGCCTGTCTGAGAATCAGATCACATGTCAAGGCACATGCGCATTTCATCCTCTTACATCATCCCTCCAAACATGTAGATTTTTCAGTGTTACTTGCCTAGGACATTAAACGTCTCTTACATCATCCCTCCAAACATGTAGATCTTTCAGTGTTACTTGCCTAGGGTACAAACAAAGTAATGCTGTGTCCCAGGCTAATTTGCTAGTAAATGCATGTTGTTGCAAGCTCCTATTAAAATAAACAAAGAAGTAATGCTGTGTCCCAGGCTAATTTGCTCAATACAGGTTGTCGCAAGCTCCTATTAAAATAAACAAACAGTAGTTGCCTTTTAAGGAACTCTGCTTCTAATGACATGTTAACTGTATTGCATAGTTTGGCCCTGAGACATCAAAACAAGAAAACAAAGCCATCTTCTCTTCATATTAACCAACTAAGAAACAAAAACAGCCTAATTTGATAAATGTAGATTGATGCAAGACAATAAAAATTGTTCTCTTAAAAATGCATGTCTTCTAGATACAGAATTGTCCTCTAGTGAGGGCTCTATGGTCTCTCCAGTTCCCTTATCTCCAGCTACAGGAATTAAGGATGATGCTACCACAGAACATGGAGGTTTCCAGTAGCAAATATATAAGGCCATTGTTATTATTTATTTCTTATATATGCATCCCATCTTTCCTGTAGTGAACTCAAGGTGGTATACATGGCTATTCTCGTCACCACCAATTTATGCCCAGGATGATCTGTGAAATAGACCAGGCTGAGACCCAAGGCCACCCAGTGAGCTTCGTGGCTTAGTGGAGACTTGAACCTCAGTCCTAGTCCATTATTCTCATCACTTTTTAACAGGGTCTTGTCATGAACTGGAAGTAAAACCCATTGTTGTCATGGGACATCCTTCTGGGTAGACATGGACAGAAGCTACAGTATTTTGCATGAATTGGCCTCTGATTTTCTGTAATTATGAGATCAACAACAACTTTTATCTTAGACCACTATGGGTGGTGATCATCTATGCCAACCTCCCAGTCTTAAACAGGATTTTCAAAGCGTGGGCTAGAAGTTACTTGTAATTCCTTTTTTGCAATAACTAAGGCATAACTGAATTTATTGTGCTTATAATGTAACAAAGGGATAATTGCACTCCTTTTGTTTTAAGTAACTGTTATAGCTAAAAGTATGTGTGGCCTCACTAACTGTGCATAGTTTACACCAGACGGCAGCAGCTTGTAGCATTCTACTAGTTTTTTAAAACAGCTAGAAGTAATTGTTTTGATACTTTGGTTAGCTTTAAATAATAATATACTGTATTTTAAAACCAAAATGATAACAAACTTCCTGAGGACACAGAACTATAACTAAGGTAAAGGTAAAGGTTCCCCTTGACAATTTGTCCAGTCATGGCCGACTCTAGGTGGCAATGCTCATCTCCATTTCCAACCCATAGAGCTAGCATTTGTCCTCAGACAATCCTCCATGGTCACGTGGCCAGCATGACTAGACACGGAACACCGTTTCCATTCCCACCGAGGTGGTACCTATTTATCTACTCGCATTTTTGCATTTTGCATGCTTTCGAACCGCTAGGTTGGTGGGAGCTGGGACAAGCGACGGGGGCTCACCCCTTGCGTGGATTCGATCTTATGACTGCAGGTCTTCTGACCTTGCAGCACAGAGGCTTCAGTGTTTAAAACAATTTTACAAGCTCAAACTAGAAACAAAGGATCATTTTTAAATGTATTGGAGGAGTTATTATATCCTTGTTGACTGTACAATTCTTGAGTTTGACGTATTTACTAATTATCTCTAGGTTTTTAGTGCTTGACAAAAATTACAACGGCTCAGATCTTGTTGCTTAGCATTGTAAGTTGCACTAGAGTAGGTCTGGGGATTTTTTTAAGTCAACTCATCGATAAATTCCATTGATTAAAGATGGCCTACTCTAGTTGTTATTTAAATTAGTGTAGTTCAACTACATTGGAATCGATGATCAACTCATCGATAAATTCCATTGATTAAAAATGGCCTACTCTACTTGTTATTTAAATTAGTGTAGTACAACTAGATAGGCTCATTGGAATTGATGAAACTTATGGAGGAGTTGACTCACTAAATCCTGATTGATTAAGTAGGCCTATTCTAGTGTGAATTACTAAGCAATAGGATATCAGCCAATATATGCATAATTCAAGGTAACAGTGGAACTATATTACACCACTTTCAACTCTGAAACCCCAATCATTAGTATTTTTACCCTAACAGGTTATGTTCAATCTGTTCTTGAAGATGACTCCATATTCTATCATCCCTAAGTAGTTTGTCTAGCTTTGAATTAGTTTTACCAATAGGAAGTCCTAACGCTTAATGTTAAACCTAGCCTTGCATTTTAAAACCATTCTCCCCATCCAGTTTCTCCAATTTGAAATCTGTATTTGTAATATTTATCTCCCAGCTGCAGACCAAAGATACTTCCAAAGGTTGCCTTAATTTTTAATATTGCCAGTTTCATGGGTTGTTTTGTGTTTTTTAATTGAAAGGTTTCTCCAAGCAAATCAGAAACCAAGGGTGACTCTGAGGATAAGGTGAGTGTTTTTGTCCCTCATAAAACAATATATGGGGTCTTTCTTCTTTTGTTTTTCTTTAGGATACCTGCCTAAATGAGATTATCAGCTGGTTCTGATCAGTATCCACATGGAAAACCACTGTATTGAATTGATATCAGACAATATCAGTGCTTTGTATGCCATATAGCTGTAATTTATTGATTCATTTTGTTTTTCATATATTGTATTTTTATATCACACTCCTTTCATGGAGCTCTAAGTACTATGTATATCTATAATAGATATATATCTACTATATATTTTACCTTCTTCCTAACCTTTCCATGTAGCTTAGGCTGAAGGATAATGACTGGCGCAAAGAGATCTGGAAGAACAGCAGAACAGGAATTTTAATCCAGTTCTGAGTAACAGGCCCTGGATTGGACTGGCTCATTTCTGCACTACTTGTTGATGTTGTTCCCTGATATTGTACAGTACAAGCATCTATCTATCTATCTATCTATCTATCTATCTATCTATCTATCTATCTATCTATCTATCTATCTATCTATCTATCTATCTATCTATCTATCTATCTATCTATCTATCTATCTATCTATCTATCATCTTCTCACATGTCTTTCAGTGCAAGACTCAAAGGAACTCACAACAACAACAAAAAGTGGATATAACTAAAAAGAAAACAAATTATAATGCAGAAACATAAATAAGTTTATCATATTATTAACCAGCACTAAATTAACAATTTGAAGTCATTTAAAAAGCAGAATGGGAGAAAAAGTATAATGCCTACCATTGAAAGGCCCTTTTTTCATAGTCAAAGGCTCATTTGGAAAGAAGACAAAGAGATTTCTCTCTGCTGACAGAAGGACAGCAGGGAGGTGGGCCTGTCATGCCTTCCTTGGTAAGGACTTCCAAAGCTTGCAAGTAACCTCAAAGAATGTCCACTCTCATATATGCACCAAGTGTGCCTTTGGAGGGGATGGGAGAGACAGAAAGCCCTTCCCACGAAGGGAGGGGATATGGTCCTCAGAAGGAAGCCCCATTGATTTCAGTGGGACTTCTGTGTTAGGGAGCATAAGACTGCAACTTTTGGTAATCAGGTCGTAACTGCAATGGACCAAGAATATCATTCATGGTAGTTCATAGTGATAGATCAAGGAGAGCTTAGTTCAGTTCCCACTCAGTGACAAAGTTCATTAGATAGCCATGGCTATGTCTCAGCCTAACCTACCTACATCTCAGAATCATTATAATAATTAACGGGGAGAATCACATGCACCACTATGGACTCGTATGAGGAAGTTAAAGGATTCCTTGTTTAATTTTCCATCCTTTCAAGAAGCTCTGGCTATTTAGCTAAATATCTTGGCACCGCTTCACAGATTGCAATTGTAAGTAGAGATGGCCACAAACCACAAAAATGGTGGTTTGTGGTGGTTCGTGGTTACCCACAAACCACAAATCATCTGAACTTTTTTAAAAAGCAAACTACAAACTGGTTCATTTAAAAAAAACATTTGTACCCTGGGGGAAGTAGAAACTAAACCCCTCACCCCCATTGCCTGCCCCCGCCTGGTTCCCACTGTCCCTATCCCCTCCCACCTCATCCTGCCACCTCCTCTTCCTCCTCCATTGCTGCCAATGGGTGATCCGGCACCACACAGCCCTAAGTGTCACATGGTGCTGGATCACCCATTTGTAGTCCCACCGCCTGCCCATTGCCACTGTGGCTCCCTGCTCCTGTCACCTCCTTCCCTTACTCCTTCTCCTCCTCCGGCACTGCCATTTTGAGAGATAGGCCAAGCTTCCCTTCCAGAAACTGGGCCTGCTGTATCTGCACCTGTGCCCCCTATCAGCTGATAGGTGGGGGCATGCGCAGAGAATACAGGCAGGGCCCTTGGAAAGGAAGCCAGGCCTGCTGTGTTTCAAGATGGCAGTGAAGGTGGAGGACAAAGAGGAGGAGCCAACAGGACCAGATCAGATGGTGATGGGGGCAGTGGGAAAGGTGCATGGGGAAGTTTGTTAAATCGTGATTTGGGATATGATTTCAGTTATGAATGATGAACCTGAGCCAACAAGCCAGCGATTTTTAACGAACTTCCTGATTTGTTTTTCAGTTCATGCCCATCTCTATTTGTAAGCTTGCACCAACACATGTATAATTTGATTGTGACAAAGATATGTTCCAAAACATGTATATCCTACAGGTGCAATTCATGTGAAAGCAGGATTGGTCAAAAGTGGAAATATTCATTCCCCTGTAGGATGAGCCTTGTTGACAGAGTTGAGAACTTTGGTTCTGAATTGTTTTGGTTGCAGTGTAAATTGTAGCCCTTAGCATTAAGGTCTTCTGCTGTTCATTTGCTTCACAATTGTCCTATCTCTTAGGTTCTGTGCTATTAATGCAAACATAGAGGCTAACAATGCAATCCTACTGAGTTCCTCTAAATTTAAGGTATTTCCCCTTAGGGAGTAGACAGGAATAGTAGTGATGGGGAACATTAAGGCTTTCAGATGTTGTTGGATTGCGGTTCCCATAATTTCTCACCTTTGGATGTCATGCCCAGGGCTAATAGAAGCTGCAATACAAAAAGATCTGAATGCCTACATGTTCACTATCATATATGTACAGGATTGTGCCCTATATAACAGGTGAATGGAGGAAACTCCATCATTCTTTGATTCTGTGAATTTTACACAGATGCGCACTGTGATGTGCTTGCAAACAATTGCTCGTTAACTGTGGTTGTATGACTGTTATCCTGAGGCCACCTTTTTGAAAATATAGTGGCCAGCAAAATTACATAAGCTGATATTTAAGCTAATATTTTGTGGTGGTATTTAAACAAGGAAATTAATATAATAATAATAATGTTTTGATTTGGCCAAGAGATCTACAGTGGCTCACTTGTACCTCAGGAAATGTTTGATTAGGTGTTCATTTTCAGTCTTTGCTGGTGGTTTCTCAAAATCTTCTCTTCCAAAGGCCTAACTTTTGGAATCTTTGCACCATTTTTACCCCATGTAAGAAATGAAAGATATTCAGTGTGGCCTCATCTGATTTCTGGTGGTAGTTGTAGTAGTAGACTAGAAACATTAATTCAACGAGGTAGGCTACAATTTTTTCCATTTTACATGAAAAACACCGAAGAGGGTGGTTTTTCTGAAGGCAACAGAAAAGCCATAGCTGAGTCAGGATTTGAACCCAAGGCGCAAGTCCAATTATCGGTGTACATTCTAGAAGTATAGATAGAGAAATTTTTGGTCACTTTCTGGGGATGATTACAAGCAGAAGGCCAAGAAACAAGATGTAGGTGTCACTTTGGCAAGTAGGCAAAAATTTAATTTAAAGGAAACATTGAAGAAGAGTCTTCAGGCTTCACATGAATATTTGTAGAGAAAAGGCAAAGCACAAGTCAATAGAAATAGATCTCCAGAATTCTGGGGCTACTGCAAAGAATGCCTTGTCCTTGTATACACAAGTCTAAGCACTCAAGGAGAATACTTCAGGGAAATCTTTATGCACAGGCAGGGTTGCATAGGTGATGGTGTGGCTTAAGATAACCAGTTTCCAACCCATTTGGATTCAAAAATTATGACTAAAGCTGGAGGCTTCCTATTTGTACCCAACTAGGAAGCCCGCTGGCACAGGTGGCCAGCTTGATTACCTCCCACCACCAGTCCATGCCGGACCACTTACTTACAACAATGCACGGTATGCGTGGCCGGTGTCCTATCCTGCACCCCAATCATGGCAGTAGCTTGGCTGCCACAGCCCCACCTCCCTGCTTGCCCAGCCACTCTGCAGCGGAGCAGGCAGACTTGTCCTCCTGCCCCTTAGCTGGACTGGCTGGGCAAACCGGGAGATTGGGCTCTGGCAGCCAAGTTACTGCCATGATTGGGGTGCAGGAGAGGATGCTGGCCATGCACCACACGGTAAGTGGGAGGTGGGAGATAATCAAGATGGCCATCTGTGCCAGCTGGTTTCATATTCGTATATGAATATGAAGCCCCCATCTTTAATTATGACCATCACTTTGAATTATTTTCTCCCCTCCTTGAATAAAACAGAATTGTAGTAGTTTAATTGCAATGGAATGCTGGTGTTCTTTAAATGCTTTACCAAGGAGTCATTAATAAGAAGATGGCAAATGAGCTTCCCTGAAAGACAATTTATGTATCACAATTGCCTTTCCACCATAACATGGGGTCTTGAGAGAATGCCATGTGTCTCCTAGATTGTCTGAATATAGGCATGTGCTGTGACTCGGTACCTTAACTGATGAGTGTTCCACACACTCAGCATATCCTGAAAATGTTTTGCAATGCACTGAAAGATATATACAAATCACTCAGAAGATGAGCCTGTGTTGAAAGATTTTCCTGAAGATAAAATGTTTAAATACAGAACAGTACATATAACAATGCAAATTGTTCTAAGCTGTTGAACTGTGGATCTGATGTTGCATTTTTCCCCCCTTTGGGAGAATCAGAGAGATGTTATGAAAGACAGTGGACCGAATTTTACTGGTGTTCACATTAAGTTTGTGTAATTTCCCACAGCTAATTGACAAGATGCAGGATGCACCTGAGAACTTGTCAATTAACCACAATTGGCTGTGGCCATGTACACAAACCAAGCCCTAGTACAATTGTACAGGATACAGATTTTTCCTCAATGAGGCAGGATGTCTGTGAACATTACAACAGTATAATGTAATGTAACTCTTGCTGCTGTGTATTGTGAGTGAAAAGAAAACAGAGCATTCCGCAGAGACTAAGCTTTGAATGATGTCACACAAAGGAATCTCAAACAGGCCATGGTGGGCAGCTTGCGGAGAAGACGGCCACCGATTCACCCGGGAAAAGCCCCAAGAAAAAGAAAGCAGACAGTCCCCGATTAGGACACAGTACATTTAGCAAACTGTTTAGGCATAAGGTTGGTATGGCAAAGTTAAAAGAACAAAAAGAGGACTCTGAATGGCAACAGATGGATGTTATTAAATTAATGAATACTGAATGCAATATTGCAATGGTGCCACTTTTTTAAAAAAAAGCAAAATTGGCCAGATTCGAAAAGGTAAACATGCTATGAAAATTTTTGCATCTGCAAATATACGTCTTGTGTAACATCTGTGCATTCAGGGTTCAGACTGGGTGGGTGAACCCACTAACCGCATCATAACAACTATGTTTGGGTAAGACCACTCATTAACAAAGCCCGTGTTGCCTTTAACCAAGACCCTGATCTAACAAAGCAGTTTTAAAACATTTCCTAGCATTTTGGTTAATACGTTTTTAAAGTTTGTAGTTTTTCTGATGCTATGAATCATTCTTTAAAACAAGGAAGAAATTATTTCTTTCCTCAGATCGCAGAACAAGAGAGGAGTAAAAGTGGAGAACAATAAGGCTGAGTACACACTTAAGTCATCTAGTGGATATATTGGTATTTGAACTTTGGATTTCCGAGCTCACACTTTTATTATTTCCATCACATTCAGTCTTCTTCCAAATTCTTTAGATGGGATGGGGGACCAAATTATGGAAGCAACAAGGTACAAGCAACAGAGTTACCTTTAACCAGTTACTTTCTTGGTTATTTGGATACAACAAAGTTACTTTCAAATGTAACTAATTGATTAGGGACAATGTAACTTTATCGATGGGACAAGTAACATTTTCTAGTTATTTTAAAAAGTTAATTTTAAAGGACATTTTAAGCCATTTTTACATGAGTTCTAGTTTTATTATATTTTCGAATCAATGCTGAATGGCAAGTGAAATATCGGTTTGCACAATCTTTTGTATTTTGTTAAGATATTTCAACATGCAGTATCAAAACTGACCAATAGAGGAAATCATAGAGTTTGTGGCAGTGTGTCATGTTAATAACAATACAAGACAACAAATTGCTTTCTGATTTGGGCTCCAGTAATGACCACTTGATCAACTAAAAAATAAGCAATGCAATTCATTCTTTCAAGTCATGTTCCAAGCTCTGAGTATAGCCAGACTCAGATAATCTTATATTTGCTCAATAAATCATTAAACTTGTGCAATGTTGTGCACATGGTATCAGTTTGGTACTACTTTAATTGTCGTGGGTCCATCCCAAAGAAGCCTGCAGTTTGTGGCTTGGTGAGTTATTTGAAATATCCTGCTAGACAGCTTTGATGTATTACCCCAAGACTTCAGGAGCAACCTCTGAATGCGTTACCAACCTACAAATCCCAGCATTCCATAAGAAGGAGATATGGCAGCCGACGTGATATCAAACTGATAGAACCATGTAGGGCAGATACTTTGACACTAGACCCTTCTAGCAAAAAATCTGAAGCATCTCAGCAAAGATCTGATCTCGAGATTCCATAAAATGGAGCCATGGCAGTTAAAGGGATGCTTCTCTGCTATAACTGTATAGCATATTTTATGATTTTATGTACAATAGGACCCCCATATTCACAGGGGATTGGTTCCAAGCCACCCACCACAGATGCCAAAAACTGTGGATAATAGTGAATCCTGCACCACAGATGCCAAAAACTGTGGATAATACTGAATCCTATACATAGCATGGTCTCTAGCGATTTTGATAATTACATCATACATAGCATGGTCTCTAGCTTCCTCTAGTGGCCGATTTTGATAATTACATCATGGATATATGTATTTCTGGGGGTATTCTTTTACTATTTTTAATATTTTCAGACCATGGATAAGTGAAACTGCAGATACTTATCCCACATATATGAGGGTCCTACTGCATTGCATTTCTGATGAAGCACTGACATGGTTCCATTAATCACAGCCATTGATTCCCACTCATTTTCACAGTACAATGGTGCCTCAAAAGACTAGCACTGAAGCACTGACATGGTTCCATTAATCACAGTCGTTGATTCCCACTCATTTTCACAGTACAGTGGTGCCTCACAAGACTAACACTTTGCGGGATGAAAACCCCGCAAGACGAATGATTTATGCAATCGCTGTGGTGCTTCGCAAGATGGCTTCTTCTATGGCTGTGCTTCGCAAGACAATTTTTTCACAAGACCAATGCCTTGCAAGACAAAAATAATTCATTCGTTTTGAGAGGTTCCCATAGGAATGCATTTCAATGCATTCCTATGGGAAATAGCTTTTTGCAAAACGAAAATTTCACAAGACAGCGCTACTCGTGGAACGAATTACTTTCGTCTTGCGAGGCACCATTGCATTTCTAAGGCAGGAGGATGCATTGACTCTGTTTGTTGTGATCTGGACTGTGAATGCAGGGGAATGCTACCAATCATTTCCTTCATGTCTCCTCTCTTAACCCACTTGACAGTTGCAATTACTGCTTATATCCAAGTGAACTTAAGGAAGAAAGCAGGCTATAGATGTGGTGCTGATGTGGCTGATTATTTCTAAAAGGTCACTATGCCCAAATATGTCTACCCTGAGCTAAACACAATGTCTCTTTCTAGCAGCCTTAAAGAGGCAGTTCAAGCTGTTGCTTTATTATCCAGCAGCAATTTGTCACCAAACTATTGTAGAACCATAAAGGTCTGGCCTTATCCTTTCAGCAGAGTGGTGCAGTCATCTCAGGCAGCAGATTCTGGAATGAAGTGACAGGATGTTGGATGTGGCCTGCTCTTTCTCCCCTAAGCTAGTTTTCTGACTTCAGTTCAGTAAACATTGTCCCATCATCAGTGTTGAAGAAAGCTTCAACTATCAGTCCTGTCAGTTTTTGTGCACTGAGTAGAGCAACTCTGTAATGATGACATTTTAGAGTTGGAAAAAATCTTGAGGGCTGTCTTGTCCAATCCCACCTTTTTTTTCATTGCAATAGTCTTAAGAACAACAACACTGGCATACAGTGATCATGAAACTGGCTTAAATATCTCCAAATGAAAGTCCATCATCTCCTGAGGTAATTGTTCCCCAACTAAACAGTACTCTTCATCATGGACAGTCTCCAAAGGTTTACCAGAATCCTGACTTCTGTCTGTGAATGTTTAGCCTTTTAATTTCCACACTTTGGCTCTAGTCTTGTGCTGTAGGGCAAAAGCGAACAAATCTGCTCCCTCTTTGATGGTACACGAACTCAGATCTTGGAAGACAGTGGGACACATACAATCTGTACGGTAGTAGGAGTCCACTTAGCAGAATCTCTGGTGGTTAAAAAAAAAACACTGCAGAAACACACTAAATGTGTATTTAATATTTTAGAACTTGTTCTGATTCTAAAATTGGGTCATTATAAAATACTAGGCATAACCTCCATCGATGTATTAATGAAGTAGTGTTTACATCAACATTTTTGTCTATTGATAAATGGAGGTTTGGAGGGAAAGAATAGCACCATTATGCTTGAGGAATGCATATAGACAAAGCCCCTTGAGTTACAGATGGAAAATGAAATTAATTCTTGAGTGCAAGCATTCGGTTTGGACACCCACATGGAATTTTTGGGAGTAGGGGGCTTATATAATATGTACACTTACTTGGAATGTGGAATAGTGGTTGGAAAGGCATTCAGGCTGGTCTTTGACAAATACACTACATCTCATGTTGGTTTTTAAAGAAACTAAAACAAAGAAAAGATCCTACATTCCTCTAAATGTTAGTAATCTACACATTTTCTTAGTAGCTATACTACCTATTTAGGGCCATTAAGATGATACCTATAATCATACCTGAAAGTCAGAGTGGGCATCCGTTCTTCTACTGAGGCCTGTATTCTCTTGTGATAGTCTTTTGGAGGCCATCTGCTAGCAGCTACCACTGCAGGGCTAGAACCCAAATTGGACAACACTTTTTTAAAATTATCTTTCTTCTACCACCATCTTTCTCTGTCTTCCCCTCTTCCTCCTTTCCCACAGGCTGCTGGAAGTGAGACACAACTGTTTACCAGAGATCAGAACTAATCACTAGCAAAGAATTGCTGCTAGTGTTGTTGCCAGGATGAAGTAAAAAAAATAGACTTCCAAAGACACACAGGAAGAGACATAACTGAGTGAAAACACAGATCTTGTTATGTTAAACAGATGAATTTTAGCATCTAAGGACTTGCATTCTAACAATGTGTTAAATGTATAATTTAATTTTATCTCCAGGTTTCACTATAATAAGAGAAGGAGAATGTCTTCTACTAACTCAGTTTACCCACATTCTCATCAACTGATTCTTTTTTAGCCTCATCATTCATATTAACACCTCTAAGACATCTTCACATTTGAATTCCAATCCACCACCTCCTGTTATTGGGCTATAATATCACTATGTCTGAGGAGTGTTGAAACCTTATTGTCTACCATCCAACTAACAATGGTGTCATTGTATTAACCACTATGTGAAATGATTATCCCTATGGAATCCTTGAAAGCAGTCCCATACAGACAATGCCTCAAATGACTTGTATGCATGTGTTTGCCTACTTTTTAGGTAAAGAAAGATGCCCAGCAAACAGCAAATACCAAAGTGAGTATTACTTTTGAAAAGCAAGCATGTAAGTGTTGCTTTTTTTGATTGCACATTGTGATTGCTTCAGGTGTCACCCATGTAGACGATGTGATGCAGGAACTAGATTTCCATGCTGCAGTCTTCATCCTTCCCATAATGTGTCTTATTTTAATCATGTAAAGAGGAGCACAGGAATGAACTGTCATTTATACTCTCTGGCCCTGGTCACATGAGGGAAAGATCTACTTCTTCTGAGACTTTCCATATCTTTGTTGTCCTGAATTGTGATTACACGGTTTATATCCTGGGACAAACATCCGAAGAACTTTGAACAGTACCAATTTATTTATTCCTCTTATTTGAATCATAATGGCTTGCTACACCATGGTACCAATTTATTTTCTCTCTTGCTTCAAGGCACAATTTAGCCTCTTGATTTATATATACACATTTAAAAAATAATATTTATCAATATATCAGAAACAAGGCTCTCTCTAAGGTGTGTGACTGCTCGAGTGCACATGATTCGCCCCCCCCTCCAGACAGCTTTCCCCCTTCTCTGTGCACCCACATCATTTGCTTCCAGCCCCTTTCATTCCGATCACAACAGAACCCCATGGGGGGGGCAGATTTGCACACAGGAGGAAATTAAAGAGAATGTTGATTGCAACATCATTTGCTTCCAGCCCCTTTCATTCCAATCACAACAGAACCCCATGCGGGGTGGGGGCAGATTTGCACACGGGAGAAAATTAAAGGGAATGTTGATTGCAAAGGATGTTCTGTTTAGGAAAGTGTCCTCTGTTGTACTGGCTGCTTCTGCAGAAATGCAGAAAAATAGACTTGGGATAACCACACAGCAGTACGTCCTCTCACAGACACACAGAGAGAGAGACAGAGAGAGAGTGACACTGGCATATCGACACTTCAACATATCTTTACATAGAATTTTAAAAAAATTACTCGGCAGTAATGTAAATGGCGGAGGCCATATTTGCTCCTTGTTCATTCGTTTAGTCGTTTAGTCGTGTCCGACTCTTTGTGACCCCATGGACCAGAGCACGCCAGGCCCTCCTATCTTCCACTGCCTCCCGGAGTTGGGTCAGATTCATGTTGGTTGCTTCGGTGACACTGTCCAACCATCTCATCCTCTGTCGTTCCCTTCTCCTCTTGCCCTCACACTTTCCCAACATTAAGGTCTTTTCCAGGGAGTCCTCTCTTCTCATGAGATAGCCAAAGTATTGGAGCCTCAGCTTCAGGATCTGTCCTTCCAGTGAGCACTCAGGGTTGGTTTCCTTTAGAATTGATAGGTTTGTTCTCCTTGCACTCCAAGGGACTCTGAAGAGCCTCCTCCAGCACCACAATTCAAAGGCATCAATTCTTCGGCGGTCAGCTTTCTTTATGGTCCAGCTCTCACTTCCATACATCACTACAGGAAAACCCATAGCTTTGACTATTCAGACTTTTGTTGGCAAGGCGATATCTCTACTTTTTAAGATGCTGTCAAGGTTTGTCATTGCTTTCCTCCCAAGAAGCAGGCGTCTTTTAATTTCGTGGCTGCTGTCTCCATCTGCCGTGATTATGGAGCCCAAGAAGGTAAAATCTGTCACTGCCTCCTAATGTAATGTAATGTATTTGCTCCTAATGTAATGTAAATGGCAGAGATGACATATTTTTACCAACATATCAATGTATTGGGCACAACTGAAAAAAAATAATGTATGTGTCACAGTAATGGCAACTACCTTCCTGGCTTCGATTCTGAAAAAAAGCAGGGCAGGTCATGCACACAGGCAATCCTGGCAAGGAATGCACCGGTACAACAAAGTTACAAATAAACAAAACCCTCCTGGCGATGGGGAAATGCTCCACAGTTATACTGCTAGTCAGGAGAATGTCTTGATCTTGTCTCTATGTCATATGACCAGGGGGGGAAAAGCAACAAACTAACGGGGGGGGGGATAGCTAGAGAAAATTCCCCTCATGTGACCAGGGCCTCTGTCTGTCTGTGCTTTTGTGTGTGGTCAAGTCACTTCTGAATTATGTTGACTCTAACATCGTTTTCAAGGTATGCAAGATGTTCATTTAATGGTTTACCATTGCCACCTCTCAGTGAGTATCCATGGCCATGCAGGGATGTGAATCCACATCCCCTGGATACTAGTCCATCACTTTTTCTATTAGCCCTTGCCGCAGGTCATGCGCTCTTTAGTCCAATACAGAGATAACTAAGTATTTGATGTGTACCTTGCCTTTCTGTCAAACAATGGAACTTAAAATTGCCAACAATAAAATCAAGTAGCAGGGAGGGAAAGCTCAATATCATGGCTTCCTGATTAACTTGGATGTTGTGCCCTGCCTTATCCTCAAAAGTTCAAACTAGCTTGCAATAGACCAGCTCTGTAATATTATATGTTGTTTTCAAATGACCAATTTAAATTATTTGTTAAAAACATAAAACAACTGAATTAAAATAGAGGATAACCCAAAACACAGTGAATAACACATCAACAAGTAGGCAGGGTGAAAGGAGTTAAAATTTTTACCACTACCTAATTTGATTTCCAAAGACCTACATTAATAATAGGATTTTTTTTGTCCTGTCCCATTAGAAGGACATCAGAGAAGGTCCTGTCTTTGTCTTCCTTGCTCCACAACCTAGGAGCAGCTACCAAGAAGGCCCTGTCTTGCACTCCACCAAACTTGCCTATAGTGGTGATAACTTATCCCCTGGGATAAAGACTTGAGTTTTGGGAGTTGTTCTCAAGTCAGACTTAAGTCTCTCTGGTAACTTCAAACTCCTGTTTTTTTCCCAATTACTCAGACTCAACTTGCTATTCAGAACCCACCCATCCCTCCCTTTCTCCTAGGGAATAAAGGTAATTTTTAATAAGGACTTAGACTTGGGACTTTGTACCAAAAACCTAGACAAAGACTTGCCAACATCCCTGATTATCCCACAGGCAATGTCGAAAATCTTGGAGACATTTTGTTTGTTTTGTTTTGTTTCTACAAATTCATGTGCATGTGCCTTGTAGATTGATGAACAGCCAGTAACCACCACAGCGACTGTGAAATCAGAAATATACATTCCTGCACCACAGGAAAGTCCAGCAACAAAGCAGAGCATAAAAGCCCCTGAACCTCCAGTACAACAGCCAGCAGCAACAACGGCCACAGCAACAGTGGTGGTCAGCAATGAAAGTCCGAAAGAGCTGACGAAAGAGAGATCTTATTCTACTCCCACACCCTTGAGTAAATTCTTTCGGAAAAAGGTATGGCTGCTTGCTTGCTTGTCGTGGCATGTGTAACTTGGGACAAATAAAATCATTACATATCAGTGGTTCTAGAGACCCCCACTAATACGAAGGGACAAATATTTACCCATTTTTATTTGTCCTTAGTATTTTTTTTTTAAAAAAAGACCATTCTGCCTATCATCCTGGATTCCCTTAAGGCAGGAAAAGGGAATCCAGGCTGCCCTTTGCAAAGATGGCAGCTGCAGTCTCCCTACCCTAAATGAAGCTGCAGCCGCCATCTTTGCAAAGGGCAACCAGTCTCCCTTTTTACATGTTGTGGCTGGGAGGCCAGATAGAGACCTTAGCAGCAGCGATTAAAGTAAGGGGGTGTTGGAGGGCTAAGGTAGGAAAAGGAAGGGGGTGGGGTGTAGACCATGGTGTTGGGTGGCTATGGAGGGGAGACTGCCTTTCTGCCACTGATCACCTGATTGGCGGCTGGTAGGCAGAATGTTTTTTGTTTTTTAATAGGAAGGGGGTGTCAGTGGGGCTGGGGGGGTGGAGAGGGCTGCAAATGACATACAGAAGCACACTGGATATTCCACTGTGGAGAATACATATGTGTATCTAATCATGATGCTGGCAATGACGATGATAATTGCTGTTACTATTTACTAATATTATTACGTCTGAGCATAGGCTTTGGCCAAAACCCAAATAAGTAACTGAGTTGGCTAAATTCATACACATTTCTTTGAGATTCAAACTGAGGTGGAATGGCCAGATTTGGTTCTGGAACAGAGATGGGCATAATCCACAAAAATGGTGGTTCACGGTGGTTCATGGATCATGGCTAGCCACAAACCATGAACCACAAACCATCTGCAATTTTTTAAAAAATAAACTGGTTTCTTTTTTTAAAAAAATCATGCCTGGAGGAGGGAAAACTAATCCCCCCCACAGCCTGCCTCTAGCCCCTTCACACTGCCCCTGTTGTCTCCCTACCTGGTCCTGCTGCCTCCTCCTCCTCTTCCTCTTCTGCCACCATTGTCATACTGAGAGGCAGACAGCCTGGTTGCCAGAAGGGAATCCTGGTCACTGTCTCTCAATATGGTGGCGGCAGTGGAGGATGAAGAGGAGAATCCAACAGGACCAAACAGAGAGGCAATGGGGACAGTGAGAAGGATGGAGGGGTGGGTTGCGAGGGCGAGGGGATGAACCAGAAAGTTTGTGAAGTAGCAATGCTTGTAGCTCGGGTCAGGTTTTTCATTGGTTTTGACAAAGCCAAAGCACGCTAAACCAACAAACCAGTACTTTTCCATAAACATTCTGGTTTGTTTTTCACTTCGTTCCCACCTCTATTCTGGAACCAAGGCAAATTTACAAATTAATTCGTTTGTTAAGCACAAATCAAATCAGATGAGGTACAAACTGCATCTGCCTTATCTTTTAAAGCAAAGTTTAAAGGTGCCTAGTATGCAAAGACATGTCTGACATCTGGCAGATTTACTCCCTTGCTCTAAGTTCAGTGATGCCTCCAAATTTCATGTATATCAACAGGAAGAAAAAGTGTCATATCATTGGATTTTGAGTGCAAATCAATAGGAGGCTGTCATTCCCATTTTGCAAATTGACTCAGACCCAGGTAACAAATCAAATTGCATGAGGCCTGCATTGCTCTGGACTGAATCAGGAGGATCCATTCTGAAGCCCCAGATTAGCCTCTGAAGTGAATTAGAAGACTCAAGCACAGCCTTAATGGTTATGGCTTAGGAAAAACCATAAAATTGCCCAGTAGTTTTCTTGGGTGATTGAATATGCCCCATTTGCTGGAACACAAAGATGTCTGGAATTTCTCCTCAGGATACAACTGTTATCACAAGTGAAACGATATCCCTTGCATCAACATAGCATGAAAGACAAAAGGCATTTGGGCTACAGCTGTAGCAGCAGTGGCTGTAATGTGACACCTCGCAATACCATTTCACAAAGGGAAGGGGATAAAAACTCCCCAAAGAACCTGAGAGACAGTTACAGTCTTATGAATGAGGATAACCTGTGCTCTGAGACACAGCACCAACTCCTGCAGCTAAATTAAGTAGGGGCTGCATGTCTGGGTTGCAGTGGGGGAACTAATCAATCATCATGAGCCAGGGAAGACACATAACTGCTAAAACAGCTACTGCAGCGATTGTCATGGCAAAATGCCATTAGAGATATGCTCATAAAATTTAAATTTGGAGGTGTTCAATTTCAGAACTGCACAGCATGCAGAGTTATTATTTTAAAATTAAGAAAAGACTTTCCACAAACAAGGCTTTAGATTTTAATGATTATGCTATGTTTTCTTTAGTTGCTATAGTTAAATATTATGTATTATCTTTGTTTATACTAGGTCTTTCCATGTTTCTGTCAACTAATGTTTTATTACAGGGCCATTATTGTATTGCATTTTATATCTAAGAATAACAATAACTGTTTTTTAAAAAAAAAACAGCAGGGTGAAAACATTTTTACTACGATGAATAATGGTGCTAGTTCTTTTTAAGGTTGTTGGTTTTTTAATGGATTCATGACTTATATAATTACTTATTCTGACTAAGAATCTTGACAGGAAATCTAATACAGTTTCTACTACTGCTATCAAGATCATAGGCAAAAAAAACCCCTCAGGATTATTTGTTCTTGAATTTAAGGGCAGAAAAATATGTTAGAAAGAAAATTTAAAGATACTGTAGGTTGATTTTTCTATCTTAGGTAACTATTTTCTCATGGCTTGGCATGATAATATTATGAGTTTTGCTGGCGGCTCCCCCCGCACTTATAATGTACACTGGCTGGATAAAAAAAATTACTTTTTTGAATGGCGCCTCCCAGAATCTCACTACCAATATGTCCATGTCTGTCATGGCATTCTAGGATTGTAATCCTAATATCACTGCTTCTTATATTTGGATGAAATGCTAGACAAATGTCAACACTGGTCAATTTTACAACCTATCGCAAAGGGGAATGAGAACTTGTTAATTTTGGCAGCAACCCAACATTTATTATAAAATTTGGTTTATCTTGATTCTAATCTTATGAGTTCTTTATTCATCTATTTATTATTTAAAACATACGTAACCTGCTCTGTAGCACCAGATCTCAGGGCGAATTACAGAACCGAAGAAAAAAGCATGTCAAGATCTTAAAATCCTTTAAAACAATTCAAACACTAAAACACAGGAAGTTAAAACAAAATCTTAAAGCACTATTTTTTAAAAGCAGTAAAAGGGAGTGTAATAGGCTGTCACCTTGGCATTTTATTAAGCATCATTTCTTAAGCTCTTTCGAGTATGTGTCATGTTGTACAAATCCAGTATTAGCAAGCCAGTGCAGAACAGTCAAAACCAGTCAAGCTGGTTGTTGAGACACACAGGAATGGCATGATTTTCCTTGACTAGAGGGGGGTGGGATTCTTCCTTTCATATAGACATGTAGTATGTCAGGGAAACAGTTCTAACTTGATCTTCTCGGTAACATGCTATATTTTCATAGTTGCAGAGTCTTCCTCCTTAAACAGCTGGGTTTAAATAGTGACTGGCTGACTAAGTGGGTTTTTTAAATGGCTTGCTGTGCCTTACTGCTTTGAGTGTGGCTTTGGTATTGCTTTTGTTTACCATTCCGTGGAGTGGTATTTGTTTGATCCTTTTTAGTATTTGTATACTTCTTGTTTTTAGCTTTAAATACTATCCTTTGGTGATGTAAGCCACCTTGGATCCTTGGGTGGGGTAAAAATATTTTAAATAAATAAATAAAATGTACAGCAAGTGACTGCATGCCAGGGCCTCTATCAGAAAGTCTAAAAGTCTAGTTTGTTAACACTTGTTACGAATAACCTGCAGACTCCAACAGATGACATAGAGGTGATAAACACAGAGAGAATTGAAGCCTCGCCTGAGGTACCAGCTAAAGATACAACCGGAAACCAGGAAACAGCAGAAACAAAATCTAAAGAGGAGAAGCCTTCCAAAACAAATCTGAGGAAATTCTTCAAATTGGTAAGAAAGATTTTTTTAAAAAATTGTGTGGAAGAGATATACAGTAAAATTACAATCCAGGAATTTTCAAAATAGGTATATTCCCCTATGGTGGCCACTGACTAAGGGCTTGTGCAAATAAAGCAAAGGTTCTGCCCTGGTTAGTTATAGCTGGCCTGAAAAAGGCGTTACCTAGCAAGAAACCACATCATTCAACCTCACTTCCCCTCATAAAGTCTCTCAGATGCTAAGAAACAATCCTTAGGAATCCACTTTCTTGCTGGATCTGCACTTTTGGAGCATTTAAAATTACTCAGAAAGTTAATTAAAGACTTCCAACTATTACATTTTCTCCTGTGGAAAGCAATGAGTTTGAAGAGAGAAATTTCCTTCTTACATGGATACCAACCTGGCATCCATGTTAGTGTGTTTCAGCATGTGTAGCAAAAAAATTGAAAAAGGGTTCTGCTACTTTCAAGAAAAACTGATTTATTTCAGTTGAGCTTTTAAAGATCACAGACTGCTTTCTCAGATGTCTCTCATACACATCAGGTTGTGTCTGAGGAAGTAGATTGTGTGATCCATGAATGCTCACATGAAATAAATTGGTTCCTCTTGGAAGTGAAACAACTCTTTTATTTTCATTTATGCTGTGAAGGCTTTCCATCTAAGCAAGAATCCCAGTCTTCCAGGATTCCATACAAACATGAACCTCAACTCTTCAGACATGTTGTGTTTCCCTCTATTTGGCACTGGTTAGGCCTCACCTTGAGTAATGTGTCCAGTTCTGGACACAACACTTCAAGAAGGATCCTGACAAATTGGAACAAGTTCAGAGGAAGGCAACAAGGATGATCAGGGGGCTGGAAACCAAGCCTTATGAGGAAAGATTGCAAGAACTGGGCATGTTTAGCCTTGAGAAAAGAAGACTGAAGGGAGATATGATAGCACTTTTCAAATATTTATTTGTTTGTTTATTTATTCTATTTGTACCCCGCCTATCTGGTCAAAATGACCTCTTGAAAGGCTGTCATAAAGAGGAGGGGACGGATCTGTTCTTGATTGTCCCAGAGTAGAGGACACGCAACAATGGCCTCAAGTTACAGGAAGCCAGATTCCTGTTGAATATCAGGAAAAACTTCCTAAGTGTTAGGGCAGTACAGCAATGGAACCAATTACCTCAAAAGGTGCTCCAACGCTAGAGGCATTAAAGAGAAATGTAGACAACCACGTGGCAGATATTCTTTGATTTGTATTCCTACATTGAGCATGGGGTTGAACTCAATGGCTTTATAGGCCTCTTTCAACTTTATGATTCTATGGTTTTACATGATCATGTGTTGAATCCAAAGGCGTGCATATGTAATGCCTTAAGGAGACACCATCAAGCTATGAATTTTCTTCAAAGGTTGGTTAACTTTCACCCCACAAAACCAATCAGAGATTCCAGGATTTGCCCAAGCTTATTACAGTGGTGCCTCACTTAACGGCGATAATCCGTTCCAGGAAAACCACCAAAGCAAAAGTAAAAAGCCCATTGAAACACATTGAAAACCTTTCAATGTGTTCCAATGGGCTTAAAACTCACCGCCCAGTGAAGATCATCCATACGGCGGCCATTTTCGCTGCCTGTATAGCGAGTAATCAGTCCCTAAACACAGCAGGGAGCCATTTTATTTACCCGGCAGCCATTTTGAAACCGCCAATCAACTGTTGAAAAATCATCGTTTTGTGAAGAATCGGTTCCCGGAGCAGGGAAACGATCATCACAAAGCGAAATCTCCCCATTTAGACCATCGTTTTGCGATCACAATTGCGATTGCACAAAGAACATCGTAAAGCGGATCCATCGTAATGCAGGGCAATCGTAAAGCGAGGCACCACTGTACCTTCCCTGGGAATTTAAGAGGTATGCCTGAGGAACTGAGGAAGTAATTGTACTTCCCCCCCAAAAAAAATTCAATAATTGTGAATCCTAGTTGAACCACAAACCTTGTCCATAACTGCCCCCCCCTTTCTCTTTACTGCAAACTGCCTTGTAATCATTGGTGGAAGGGGAAAAAGTATTGTTTTCCCAAGTTTTTTCTAATGCAAAGGTGGTGAATTTTGAACATTCTAGGGAGGGTTCAACTTTCTGTCCCCTAGATCAGCCATTCTCAATGGGTGTCCCTTGGGGGGGGGGGGCTTGGCACATTTGAAGAGGGCCACAGACTGGAAACAATTGTTCACATACCACCTTATAATGTTCATTATGTGACTTATGTAACCCTGATTCAGCCTATATTTCTTCCACAATGTATTTATGGCCGTGGCCAAAAAAAAAAAAGGTTGAGAACGGCTGCCCTAGATTCTTGGGAAGCTGAATTGACTTTTGAAAATACAAAAAAAAATTGTTTTCAAGAAGTTCAATTGACAAGAAGTTCAATTCTGACTTCGAAAAGTTGGTAATTTATGGTATTAACACTTTAAGATGTTAAAATTTCAGGAATTAGTTCCTGAAATTTGGGGTTTGTTTGTTTTTGTTTTGCTGCAAGCCACTTTGGAGGCAGGGGAGTCTGTTGGAAATTTAGGCGGCACAACCATATGACACAAGAGCTGCACTACGCCCATCTCTACAGAGGGACTTGTTCAGAAGTTCCCTAGCTTGGGGGAAGTACAGCCAAAGTTTTCAGGGTCAAAGCCTTGGAACTTTCTGATTTGCATGGAGTATAACAATATCCATGTTCAAGGTGATCCTGTCAGCAGTTGAGGATGAAATGGGTTTTCCAAGAAACATTATAACATTGCAAATCATCCTCGTTGTAATGTGAAGTATCTGAGAGTGGTTTTGTTTTGAATGTGCAATTAAAATCCGTTAGCTTTACAAAATATTCACTCCTCATTCATTGCTGTGAACCAGTCTAGTTGTTGACATTTTTGGATTCCTGGAGGTTGGGGGTGGCTCTGGGGACTCTGCTGATGAGCACTTGCTCTTCCAGATTTACCATTATGTCATTATTGGGGAGAGTTGCCATCATTGAGATTTAAAGAGATCTGTTTTCTTCACTGTGTTCACAAGTTCAGGAAAGACAATGTGGCCTAGGCAGCATCACTTATGAAGGCCATCCACACTCAACACAAGAAAATGGGAGAAATGTGTATAATCCTTTGTTGTTTTAGTCAGTCAGAAATGATGGAAGGGCAGCTCCTTCAGAGGAGGTAAATGGGCAAACACCTGATCACCAAGTAAGTGTACAGATCATTCAGGCTTCCCTTGGTGACGGGTTCAGTGCTGGAGTTTCTCCTTGGCTTGGTATTACAATGATTCATGCTACACTGATTCAAGACACAGCATGTTCTGTTCAACCTATTGTACTTCTTCTCCCTCTCTTTCTTTCCTAATAAAGTCTGCAGTGGCACTGTTAGGTTTAAACTTATTGTATTCACCTTTGGAAGCAAATACTTACAGAGTATGGAAGGAACTAGTTACAATTAATGTAGTTGCATGTAACTAGCTGTTTGGAGCAATGAGTAATGTAAAAAAAAACAGTCACAATATTGCAGCAAAAGTGGCATAAGTAGTTACAAATATGATATGTAATTTTCCCAGTTGCCTTTAAAACTTAATTTTAATTTTAAGGACTTTTAGGTTTTTATAGGATTTTTTTTCATGTTTTCTGCCCTACTCTTATAAAGTTAGTGGCAAGGCAAGTATTCTTCGGTTTGCATTTTGTATTTATGTAAATATTTGCAAAGTGGAGATAAGAACTGCCCACTGGAGAGAACCAGAGTATTTCCCTGTATTTTTTTTCTGGTCTGCTGATAATGCCAACACAGTGACTTGCTTGTTCAGCAAACACTATGGCACTTAGCTCTTTTTGTACAATGAACATTACAAGTACTGCTATATTCATAATCACAAATAAATTGTTGCACTGCACTCATGTTCTGGAACAACTACTTTTAGCATTACTATCTGTAATGTTTAAGATGGTGATCCGAAGACAGGAAACTTGTTATCATTTGTGGGAAGTAGTTTCTCCTTATTATCCAATATAAGGCACAAGGTACTGTCCTATTGCTGATCCTGTTAGCTGTTTTGATGAAAACGGGCCTGCTTTGGAGCCAGATAGCAATATGCTTGCCAGTATCCTCTTGTGTAGTTTTGTCAGTACAACAGGAGTGACGTCACTGGCAGCAGCAGATTGCTGCTAATGTAAAGAGTTCGTGTTGTTATTTTGGGGTGCAGGCAATGCATGCTCCATAATAGGAAGTTACAGTCCTCCCAATAGAACTCTTTTATCTGCCACTTCTGGTGACATCACTCACATTGTGCTGGCATAGCTATGCAACAGGATACTGTCACATTGAGTACTTTCAAAAAAGAGCTGGCAATAACTGCAGCAACATAAAATATTAGTTCTAAGTAAACAGAAGAGACCTGTTTTATTTATGTTTGGTGTCAAGTATTGAAAAATACAATGATTAGCACGAAGTCACCCAGCTTCATGATCCAACGAGGACATGAATCCTGATCTCCCAAATCTTTATGCAGCAGTAAACAATGCACCACACTAACTCTCAACCAGGGGTCAGATTTAACGTTAAGAGAAAGGCATATTTTCCTGTTATGGCAATGGTTTCCTTTCAGGCATGAGGTTCTTCAAAATCCCATGGCTGAGCAATCAGACTTGCAAATAAATTCTGTGCTAAACTACCAGAGATGATTCTCCAAGCAAAAGCCAGCTACTGTAGTTTGCAAACTGAAGAGCTGAGGAAAGCTCATGCAAGGATAAAACAGGTGTCTTTAAACACAGCTTCACTTGTAATGATGTGCTAACTTCCTTATCAGCTCACTTGGCCCTATTTCTCTCATTAGTATTTCCTGCTAATATCGCTCTTACTAGTTATTATGATCTGATTCAGCCAGTTGTTCGTTTGCATTAGCCCTTCAGGGAAGACTTAAGCTGACATAAGGCCTTAAAACGTGAACTCTGCAATGGTTCATAGTTACTAAGCAAAAGGATTCCAAATCAACTCCA